CATTTTGAGCCGGCTCATCGTTAAATGAGCAAAAAGTTAAAGGGTAAACTATACTAATGGTCCAAGAACTTTTAGAACATTTGTATTTTGATCACCAAACTTTTGATATTTGTATTGGAGTCATTGACCTTAAGGAATGTTTTCATTTTGATCAATGTTGTTAACGAAAATTGGGAGAAAAATATTTTCATATTAAGTTGATTATAAAAATTTCTATTAACATTAGCCGATTTTATAGTTGATTATAAAATAATACTTTTACAGTTGATTATCAAGAATTATTAGACCAAAATTAGTTTTCCGTTAATAAACTTTGAGCTTTTTCCTGGATGAGTTTCCACAAGTTAACCACATGGTGTTCTTGAGGCAGAGTTGCTCCAATAGCGCATCGAATTACATAAATTCCACCCACCACTGCGTGACTCACGAAAGCTCTCCCACTTGAATTTATGGCCTCCAATTTCCAGTTCCATTCATCCTCCTTCATCTTGGGCTTCAACCTGAAGCAAACCAATGCAAACTTTCTCGGCACTATGACCTCGAACCTCTCATCTTTCCTCACAAGTGCTTCGAAGCATTTAGCCATGGCGATATCGCTTTGAATGTGGTACATCAGGTTAGCCAGAGCGTGTTTACGGATCACAATCCAAAGCTTCAAAGCCCTGAATCGTCTACTCAATGGGATCTGCCAATATTTGTAATCCACCACTTGGATTTACTTGCCCTGTTTCTTAGAATTTCAGGGTCACTTGACAATGAGCCGGATAACAACTTTGGTTCCTTGATCCACAAACAACAGCATCCATGTTTGTGAGAAACCATTTATGTGGGTTCATGCTGATGGAGTTAGCAAGCTCTACTCCATCAAGATAATGGCGGAGCTCAGGGCAAATGCAGGCACTCCCTGCGTATGCTGAGTCAACGTGAAGCCAAAGTTTGTACTTCAAGGCAACTTCGCCTAACTCTGCAATAGGATCGACAGCTCCGGTGGGTGTTGTCCCAACGGTTGCACATAAAAATAATGGCACTAAACCTGATTTCATATCATCTTCAATGGCGATACGAACTTTTTAGGGCGACATTGAAAACTGGGTCGAAAACAATGTTTCGATCAAACGAAAATTCGATGGGGGTATGCCTACTGATTGTGCAGCTTTTTGGAAAGTGAAATGCGTTTGATCCGACGCATAAATGACTAACTTTGTTACATGTTCCCACCCACCAAGCTCGTTCAAAGCTCTCTCTTGCAGCGGCCAAAACGCAGACAGCAGCCTCACATGTACTGCCATGCAAGACTCCACCACCGGTTCCAGCAAACAAAAACGAAGACGGTAGCTTAACCAACATCCCCATCCAATCCAACACAATCGATTTGAGCTCGGTCGCTGCCGGCGATGAAATCCAATTGAAACCAACAACATTAAAATCGGAGCAAAGCATTTCCCCAAGAAAGCCAGCAGTGCTAGCAGTTGCTTGGAAGTAGGCGAAGAAGTTTGGACTTTGCCAAAGAGTGAGGCCCGGAATGATACAATCATTGACATTTTTGAGTATATCCTTGAGTGACTCGGGGCAATAAGGTGGTAACTCAGGCAGCATGGTGGACAAATAACCAGGCTCGACGTTGCTCCGAACTGGGTATTTCTCAACATTTTCATAGTAATCGGCAATGAAATCAACCACTGCTTTGGACTCGTTTGTGAAGCTCATTGGATCGAGGGGAAGGAATGTTTTTCTTGATTCACTTCCCATTTTATCAAAATATAAAATGCTTTTCAATGGAATATCGTATACCGTGAAGCGAGTCAAGAGTGTATACAGCCCCCAAAACAGGTAATCGGTCTTAAAATAGAGGTGAGAGTGGTACATGTTTCTGTTCACTCTTAGAACCTTTGTATGTTTTTTCAAAAACAATAATGTATGGCATAAAAATTGAGTTAAAAAGCTTAACATTCGCCTCCACTCACACATTATCCCATCTTCAATTTTTTTTTTTAAAAAGTAGAGAGTCGATTGCTCCCACAGAGTTCTTAGAGACGTTTGAGAAAATTGTTTACATTCACATCTTTTTATCGACACGTTTTTTCCTTAGTCAAGTTCTTTACCCGGAAATAGATTTTGGTAGTATTATATTTTTAAATTTGTAATAATTTTTTTCATTCATAATGACGTTGTAATATTGATGCTTTAACGTGTCATTTCGTACGCACGTCATTTTTAATATTTTAATATAAATATATATATATATGATTAAACTAATATAAGGAGTTCATTTGATATTAATTTTGAGGATAAATTATATAAATGATCATATCTGTTAGAATAAGTTTTTTTTACTAATGTTTTAAAATTAATAATTTGATTATTATAGATATTAATTTATAATAAATCGATTATTCACCGTTAATTGTTATTATTAGGTGTGATATAATACTAAAGTGATGTCACACTTTAACTGACTGATCGACTTAGAGAAAATACGAAAGATATGTGTGTAGCTTATAGTGTTACTTGTCTTCTTGACCTTATTTTCAATTCCATGCATGCAAGATTGTTATTATTATTGAGTTGGAGGTGATAGTTGATAAATATGATATTATTTGGAAGTCAGAGGATCACCAAGAAATTCATGAGGATCAGAGTAATCGAAATCGATTAGAGCCATCAAGTAGTTCATAATAATAAAGTAAGGTTTCAATATTTTCTCTAAAAATATACTCTACCACAAGACGGACGTGGCGGTGTGTCAGAGTCTCCCTTATTCTTTATCATTGAAAAAGGGTGTGAAGAATGCAGGTCTTAAATGCCCATTCCGAATTGTATTTCTCAATCTATGTGAGATTGAGCATTACCAATAATTAGTAGATTAATTTTCAAGTTTTAGTCGAGTTCTTCGATTCTATATGATATATATCACATATGAAAAAAAACATGAAGAAAATATATATGTACTGTATATGATTATAGAAAAATGTTTAGATTGAAATCAAACAGTGTCATAATATTATAAATATTTTCAATTAAATTTAAACATAAATCAGAACAACTCGACTCGAAAAAAATTTCAAATCAAATTTGAGTTATAAAATAAGATTCATCAACTCGAATAACTCAAAAAAATTTAACTCGACTCAACCCGATTGAACACTCACCCCTAATGTTTAGTAGTGATTTTGCAACTGGCTTCTTTACCGTGGATTTAGTATAGATGAGATGAGATAGAAGAAACTATAGTTGTAAATGAGACGAGATAGATCGTGAGCTACTTGAGATCGAATCGGTCAAAGCTCGATAAATACTCCACTCGAGTTCTTCGAGTTGAAACAAGCTATTTGACACTTGACTTGAAAAGTTTACGAGCAACTCGAAAAAATAATATATTAAAATTTTATTTTAAAATAATAAATTTATAATAATATTAACATTTATGTGTTTATTTATTAAAAATGTAATATAAGGCTTTTATGTACTTAAGATTTAGGTTCGAGTTTGAGCTGGAGCTTCAACCGATTTAAGTTTAAGATTTTTTTTTTATTTCAAGCTTTTTCGAGCTTCAAACCATTATTTTGAGTTCGAGTCGAGTTTAAAAATTTTAGACTCACAAATTTTCAAACCGAGTCGAATTTGGTCGTTGTAATAAATAAATTATTTATCAATTATTGGGGTGTTCTTTATTGGATATTCGCATATTTGTGTACCTAAGGTATCAGGTACTCAATTTTTTTAGTATAAAAAAGTTAGTACTCAATTTCCTGAGTATAAAAAAGTTAGTATATGTCTAGGCTCATGATTTTTTCTATTAAGTTAAAGTGATTATAAAATAGTATATGTTTTAAATATTTTAATTATTTAATAATGAACGTTCAATCACACTTACCGTCGTTAGTGCTCAAACTAATGATCTTTAAGAACATCAATGATTTTATATGTAAATCGAATATTCGTAAAATTTGAATACTCATATTTTATGTCATGATATCCACTTTTTTTACTTTAAATTATTATTTTTAAAAAATTATATTAAAAATATAAAACATAAAAACTCGTAATACATAATCCAAACATATAATTTAAAAATTCAAATTACATACTTTGAAGATTAAAAAAATATTAAAAATACAATAAAATTTAAAACATTTATGAGGTTAAAAATTGATTTAGGAATCCATGACATAAAAATAAGATATTTTAATAAAAAAAATGTCTAATAATTTTTTATCTAAATCGATAAATCAATTAATCAAATATACTGCATGGAGTAATTTTAAAGATGCTTACCCAGTTACATCATCATCTTAAAAATCAATAGTAAAAGATAGGGTGATGTTTTCACACTCGACGAATACGGATGAGCATGGTTAATAATGAGGATTATTAAATTAATTTATAAAACGTTAAATTATAAAATATTAAACATATAATTATAAATTACTTAAAAATCTAAATATAATTTAATTAAAATACAATATTTATAAAACATTAATTTTTATAATCTTATTTTAATTATAATTAGATCATATATTAATTTGAGAAATTTGTAAACTCTAATTTATTTTTATAATTTTGAAGTCGTTGCAGCGACGGTGATGATGGCAACGGTAAGAACTTCAAAGCTATGAAAATAAATTAGTTTTATAAATTTCTTAAATTAATATGTGATCTAATTATAATTAAAATAAGATTATAAAAATTATTGTTTTATAAATATTGTATTTTAATTAAATTACATTTAGATTTTAAATTAATTTATAATTATATGTTTAGTATTTTATAATTTAATATTTTATAAATTAATTTAATAATACTCATTGTTAACTGAACATTATAGAATTTTTCTAATATATATTTTTGTGAGTTTCATATTTTATAAAAAAAGGAAAATTAAACAAATATTTTATTTTTCTAAAAAAAATCTTATCTAGATACATCATACAATGGGAAAAAATATCTTATCTAGGTAAAAAGAGGAGGGGGGGGGGGGGAATCACTAACTGGAACAATAACAGTCGTAAGCTTACAGTACGCTTTAGGGCTTTATTCTGAAAAGGAGGCATTCTTTTCCTTTTCATTTCACTTTTACGATCAGTCAGAAAAAGGAAAGTGCAAAGAGAAACGACTAGAGCGAAAAGGAGAAAATGTCCGGGGAGATTGAAGAAGACGAGGAACGACGTCGTCAAAGGAAGCTTGAAGAAGCTCTTGAAGTCAAATCCCTTCGCCGTATTATCAGTGCCTACCTCAAGTACGTTTCTCCGTTATACTATCACTGTAATTTTTGTTTGTATGTTTTGTCTCGCGGGATCTCTCCATCAATTTGAGTAGGTTAAATTTATTTTCAAGAGGAAAGAGTAGGCATATTATTTTTAGTTTTTTTTAATAATTTCGGCTACTGTTCCACTACAGTTAAATATAATCTGATCCGATATATAAACTATTTTTTATTTTTATTTTAGTTTAAACTAAAAATAATTAGAATGTATGTGGACTAACTTTCGGTAATTAAAGAGCTTGAAGTGAAGGTGAGGACGAGATGTTTTTGGTTTGCTCATTCAAATATAATTGTTTTGATGCGCACCGCCAATGCATAGAGTAAAAGTCTTAAAATGTAAAATCAATGACAGATTCTATTTTCTATTCAAAAAGAGCTTTTGATTTTTTAAAAATATTCTGTGCTTTTATATCTTAAATGCATATGTATCTCTCATTTCCGAAGCTAGAGCAAGTGTTAGAAGGATGATCTAACCTTAAAAGACAAAGTGGGTTTGATTATTCCATATTGCTTCACCTAGTAATGATCTTTAGCAATGACATTTTCTAACCTTATATGACAAGTGCCAACCTTTCATTTATGAATGGTATTTTTACTTTCTTGCATGGATAATGTATGCAGTTATCCAGAGGCTGCAGAGGAGGATGTCAGAAGATATGAAAGATCGTTTAAGAAGCTTCAACCTGCTCACAAGGTGCTCTCTCCTTGATTAATTGTTAAAATTTCTTTTTTGCAGCAGAACCCTAGATATTCATATACTTTGGCTATTTATATTTTACTATTATAACATGCTCGAGACCATGTTCATTATGATGATTAGCTAATATATTTGGAGAGAGAGCAATATGAATTTAGACCTTATTTTGCTCAATACGAAGATTGGGTCTTTTAGTTGTTAAGGTGGCGAAACCCTTTCCTTTGAGTCTAAAGCAAACTATAGAGGGAAATTTTGTTAAATTCTTTTCTGGTGTGCTTCACAGTTAGGAAAGTGTAGCAATGACTAAATGAATTTTCCATTACGAAACATATATGCTTCCATATTTCAGACTCCAGAATCTGAAAAAAAGTGCTCAAGACAGCTTGGTGTAACATTAACCATAACTGAGACATTCATAATTACATGCTTTGAGAGAATGTGCCTCCTTATTGCTATGAAGCAAAGGGAACTCAGCTGTTGTCTTAGTTGCTGCTGTTGCCAAGGGTGGATGCAAAGGTATTTTTGTATGCCAAATCTAAAAAAAAGAAGGGGTGAAAGCAATAAGGAGAAAAGGAAATGTTTGAGTGATCTGCTTAATTGGAGTAAGAAAATACCCAGGCATGCTTATGGAGAATAATGTCAATTTGTCTGTCTCAATATTCCAACTGTATGATTTGCTATTTACTTCATCATACTTTACTTGTATCATTGCTTGGAACTGTACTGGCCTTATCTAAAATGATGCTGCAAAATCTTCAGTAGAATTGGAGCTTTTTGTGCAAAATTGTTCTGCTCTTAAATGGTTACCTTTCTTATCATTGTTATATTACTTCCTCAATTTATTTTGTACTTTCCAGGCTTTGTTGCCCCACTATCCTTTAAAGTTCCAAAATCTAAGAAGGTAAATTTCTATTTACTTGCTCTTTTTGCGGTTTAATATCTGGTTTCAGTGTATGTGTCCTTAATTGAGAACAGTTGCTAAATCTTGACTTGAGACTTATGTTTGACCTAACTGAAACTTTTGTGAAAGTACAAAAACTAGATTCACTTCTTTTAAACAATTTGCATGAGCACAAGAACTATATTCCTACTTAACCTGTCAGGGAAACTAGTTTTTGCATGGTGTATCTCAATTAAAATCTTTTCTTGATGTTGAAAAATTATAATTTCTCACATTTATTGGTGCAGGTGTATTTCTATGAATTCGTATTTCATATTTTCCATGCTTCAGGTGCGCCAGAGTGCATTTTCTCCACTATTTTACACTCTGAAGAGGTGAGGTAATTTCGAAGAGAACATACTCAAAGTGCTATATTGTTCTGTAGGCATTTGAACCTCCTTTAGATATGAGCCAGGATGTGGATGGTTGTGAGGATCCACACCTAGAAAACATTGAACATGAACATTGCCACTCTGAGGAGAGAAATGCATCCTCTTGCTGTTCTGCATCAACCAGTGGAAGAATGTGTTGTTCCAACCATGCTCAAGTGTGTTCTCAGGAAAGAAGCTGTGTAATGAGCAATCCAACAGCACAGGTGACCATTCACAGGGCCCTTTTGAAATATAATTTATTGTATAATAAGTATCAAAATTCCACCACTGGATTGGTTCTTGATTTATTTTTTTTTCATTTAGAAATTTGACTTTTGTAGATAGCTGCAGGAGGTGCAAAGTGAACATCAACATGTGCCCATCTCTGGAAGCAGTGCTGGAGAAGTGGGAAATTACAAAGACATATCTGCGAGTTGTGGAAATGATGTCATCGATTGCAATGGGAATGTAATACTTTTTTATTCTTTACATGCTGTTTATCTTAAGCCAAGAAAAATGAGATGTTGGATGTTGTCATGATGAAAATTTAGTTTTGCATTTGTAAAATGTGCTTAAAGATATCGCAAGTTAGTAAATTAGGTGTGGTAATTTTACCAAATAAATAAGAAAATTAGGGGTGGAGTCTTTTGATATACCATAATTTCATTCTGCAACCCTGCATTTGGCCCAAATATTTGGTGTACAATTCCCTATTCTAACTGTAGGATTTTATCTCTCTCCCCCTACCCCAGAACAAGAAAAAAAAATATTGTTTTACCCTAATTTTTATAGTTATATATTTCTATGTTATTTAGGACTAGGGAGACTTATGTTGTTTTTCTATCTACATCCCTCTCCTCTCTTTTTTATTCTTATGTTCCAAGATGTCTGTATAAACTTGGAGAACTAGTTCTTGTCTGTAATAGTTACTGTCTGTTTGATCAAAATGTATTCATTCAATGCATACAAGTACTCATACTGACACAACTTTGGACATTTAGGAAGTTTCCCTTTCTAGAGGGACATAAATATTGAATAAAATAGAATTTCTTAACTACCATTTGGACACAAGTTGAGGCTAGATATATGAGAGTTGTATGGGCTGCATTGGCATCTTATGAAAAGATATCTTTATCTTTTTTTTAATGCTATTTCCTATCATTCTCTTGTGTTTTTGCCGATGTTGGTTGGAAATTTCCGGAACAAGTGATTATGCAATGTTGTTGTATTTGAAGGAGAAAATAACTTGAGTGACCCAAAATGCCTTATAATATACGATTTTAACCAACTTTTTTTGGATTTGCAAAAATAGCCAACGAATTCGCAACTCAATTTCAAATTCGCAACACGAAAGCCAATTTCGCAACACAGTTTCCGAATTCGCAACACAAATGAAATTCGAGTTGCGAATTCAATTTTCGAGTTGTGAATTTTAATTTCGAGTTGCGAATTTGAGTTTCGAGTAGTGAATTTGAATTTCGAGTTGCGAATTCGATTTTCGAGTTGCGAAATCCATATTCAAGTTACGAATTCGAAAATTGAGTTGCAAAATTGGCAAATTCGAGTTGCGAATTTGAAAACTGAGTTGCAAATTTGGCAAATTCGTGTTGCAAAATGTAAATTTTCGTTGCGAATTCGAAAACTGTGTTGCGAATTCGTTGGTTATTTTTGCAAATCCAAAAAAAGTTGGTTAAAATCATATATTATAAGGCATTTTCAGTCACTCAAGTTATTTTCTCTATTTGAAGAAGATAAAGAAAAGATTGATATTTGACTTCCTTCAAGTTCTTGTATTGGCTAATTTAGAAACAAACATTTCATGCACTTTCTTTGACATCAATGCCTCTAATTTTTTAAGTGTGATATTCAAACTATTTTCTTTGCCATTCTATCCTAACTATCACTGTGTATCTTCTTTTAAATTCAGATGTTTTCATCTCCACATGACTGGTTGAATCCATCATTGCAGTTGAATGTTCCACTGGCTGATGTTGATAAGGTTTGTTGGTGTTCTTGCTGTTAAGTGTGTTGAATTGAACTGTCAGTCCTAAGAATTTGTATGCAGCCACTAGTACATCCTTTTGTTTTATCTCTTAAAACATTGTGCTAAGGTTATTTAAGATAGACTTATTCTAACTTGCACTTTGCTTCCATAGTTAGAAATTTGGTTTGGAATTTTTGACATGAAGTATGTTTAGTTGTTTAAACTTACTGTATTTATGCAAAAAAGTGCCATAGTTCATGTCTACTTTTATTTCTTCAGGTCCGTTGCATAATAAGAAATATAGTTCGAGACTGGGCAGCAGAGGTATTGCTTATATGTTATTTTAATTGATTTTCAAGTATGGAGTCGCTTTGGATGGTTCAGTGCAAACTTGTATAAGTTCCTTCTTGTATGGCTCTTTTGGTACATGTAGAATTATTACTTTTTTACAGGGAATGAAAGAACGTGATCAGTGCTATAAGCCCATTCTTGAAGAACTTGATGCTCTATTTCCCAATCGGTCCAAAGAGAGGTACAAATCTTTAATTTTTTACTTTGGACTTTGTCTTTTCATACATTGCGAAAATTCATGCTTCTTTCCTGTCTAATGATTGTGGTGATACGGTGATAGCATTATTTTCAATTTTGGTATGAATATGCATTTTCCCTCTGAGTCTAGCAAACCATTAATATTGTGTTAATTTTGGGTGTAGCTCCTTATAGACAGCAAGCTTCCTGCTTGTATAAGAGTGTAACAACTGATGAGAAATCCATATATTTTTCTGTAACTGTGTTTTGTGGCATTTGATTGTATTATGTTTTACTAGTATAGTAAAACCATATATTTTGTTGTACAGCCCTCCTGCATGTTTAATTCCTGGTGCTGGACTTGGGCGGCTTGCCCTAGAGATTTCATGCCTTGGTATGAATTTTATGTCAAACTGTTACTTCTTTGACTTGAAGGAGACTACTATTGTCTTTTAAGTTTTCTTATTTTATAAAACAGGTTTCATAAGTCAAGGAAACGAATTTTCATACTACATGATGATATGTTCAAGTTTTATTCTTAATCGGTAAGAACTTTCCATCTATGCATACTAGAACTTCTTGATACAGTTGGAGATTCTGCTACATCTATCCTATCTTTCTCCAAAGGGCATAAAAATGTATTTGTTCTTTTCCATTTCCAGTACTGAGACAACTGGACAATGGACAATATATCCTTGGATCCACAGCAATTGCAATTCACGTTCAGACAATGATCAACTTCGTCCTGTTTCGATACCAGATATTCTTCCAGCAAGGTATTAAACTACTGATTGTTTCTATGAAAGCTTTACAGGTTTATGTTTTTTACTTTGTCTTGAACATGTTCTGTGCAATATGCCTTCCGAGTAAACTTTGGTGCTTAGGAGAAGCTTTTTTGCCATGACTATCAATCGTTAATTTTCTTTTAGTTTTTATTCTTTATAGAACTCCTAGACTCTAGTGATAGAAAATGGCCTTATAAAAATTATCTTGATTCTTTCAAATGGCAAGGTTCATTCAGTGAGGTGGATTCCAAGAGCGAGCAATGGGGAGGCTGATAGCTTAGCTAAGAAAGGGATAGGTTGACTGTAAGGACCTGTCACTGGATTTTCTGGTCCAGCGAGAAGGTCTATTAGAAAATTGTTGTTAAGTTTTATGGGATGTATTGTGGTGTAGTGTTTAAATCTTATGTAAGATTATATTATCAATAAAGTTTTTAAGGCACTCTTTTCCTCCTTCCGCTGATTAAGGAGCTTACCACTAAGTTCCTTTAATCAAGAAGGGGGTTTTTAACGAGGCCTTCCATTCCTATAAAAAAAAAATTATCTTGATTCAATTAATGGTCTATGTTTCGTAATATTTGCGTGAATTTCATTGCTCAATTGCCATTGGCTTTTCTGGTTTCTGGCAGTGCAGGGATTACTGAAGGATTTTCTATGTGTGGTGGGGATTTTGTTGAAGTCTATAATGATTCCAGCCAGATCAGTAAAACTACTAGCACTTCTTTTACCTATGTCCACTTGTTTTATGCATATTGCAATTTTTATCTATTGAATAAGAATGTTTTAATGTATGGCACTTATTCATTAATAACTCATCCAATGATGGAACATTCTCACTAATCCTTGAATGGATGTATTTGCGTTGGCTACAATACATTCCACACTAGGAGTGCATTTTTTAAAGTTGGTGGTGCATGTATATACATACACTCACACTAGATGTACTGTATATGTTTACCTGATTGTAAAACCTTATGGAGATTGGAAGGCTAAGAAAATGTCTATGGCAGGCAGATTGGTTTTATTAAAGGCAGTTTTGTGTGCTTTACCAACCTACTATATGTCCTTGTTCAAGATTCCTGTTTCGGTATATGATAAACTCAATGCTATCATGGCTAGATTTTTATGGGGAGGAGGGGTTGACGCAAAAAAAATTCATTGGGTTAATTGGTCGACAGTTTGCTCTGATAAACGGGTGGGTGGTCTTGGTGTTGTGGATCTTAATTTTATGAATAGAGCTCTACTTGGGAAATGGAGTTGGAGGTTTGCTAATGACTGCGATTCAGTGTGGAAAAAGGTAATCTGCAGTAAATATAATTTGGACTCTAGTTTGTTGTCGTTCAATGAAAAACTACCTACTAATGCTTCTTGGATCTGGAAATCGATGGTTAAGAACCATTTCAATGAGGATCAATTTGGAACTAAGTTTCGAAGTTTGTTTAATGTTAGGATGGGGAATGGTGGGAGTATCAGATTTTGGTTTGATAGTTGGGCGCTTGATGTCCCTCTTAAAGTGGTTTTCCAAAGATTGTTTGCTCTATCGATAAACAAAAATGGGAAGCTTAATGAGTTTGGGGAGTTTCGGTCTTCAGTTTGGGTTTGGCATATTCAATTGAGAAGGAATTTAAGTGATTGGGAATTGGATCAGTTTGCTGAGTTAATGGATGTTATCCAAAATTTCACACTAAATAATGAGATGTCAGATGGTATGGTTTGGAGAGGGAATGGGGAAGGAATTTTTTCTGTTAATTCGTGTTTGAAGTCTTGCTGTCCTGTTTTGACATCAGATTCTTTTTGGATGAAGCACATTTGGAGGGGTTTGGTGCCTCCTAGAGTGGAGATCTTCATGTGGCAGGTCGTGTATCAAAGGTTGCCAGTTAAACTTGAATTACAGAAGAGAGGAGTTTCAGCAATTGTTGATGTTGTTTGTCCATTATGTAAGAAGGTGGATGAATCCTCTTCTCATTTATTTTTTACTTGCTCGGTCGTGTGGTCTGTTTGGAATATTTTTTTGAGATTTTGGGGAGTTTGTTCAGTTTTACAAGCTGATGCTAAAAGTTTTTTGTTAGCTTGGGGAGATTTGGTGCCTAGTTCTATAATTTGGTCTTTCATTCCGGGAGTGGTGTTTTGGACAATCTGGAAATGTAGGAATGTGATTGTGTTTGATAAGGGGAGTTTAGATCAGACTGATCTTTTCTTTATGGCAAGATGTCGGCTGGCTGCATGGTTCTTAGCTGTCTATAAGTAGACGTCTATTCTAATGGACTGTCTTATTTGTGATCCTTCGCTTGGGGATTGTTGCGCAAATTCTAGATCTTCAGTCATTAAAATTAAGGCCTGGACTCAGCCTCCAAAGGGCTATATAAAGTTGAATGTGGATGCAGCTGTTACTGCAGATTGGAGAAAAAGTGGAGTTGGGGGAATTCTAAGAGTGGAGAATGGCTCGGTGGTGGGTTCTTTTCAAGAGGCTTCTGGTCCGGGTCCTCCCATTTTGATAGAACTAATGGCAATTAAGAAGGGTTTGTTTTTCTTTGCTTCAATCCAGCAACAGTTTGAGGATCGCTTGATTGTTGAAACTGATAGTAAAATTGCGGTGGACTAGATCAAGAACTATGATAGATGTCCCAATGTATATGTAGCCCTTGTGAACGAAATTGTTACTAAGTTAAGAGGTTTGGGAGGCATTATTAGATGGGTTGCTAGGTCAGCTAATGTTGAGGCTGATGCCTTAGCAAAGGCTGGTATTGGCTAGCTTTAAAGTCTTTTGGTTATGTTTGGGTCTGTTATTTTTAAGCTATGGGTTGGTGTGTATAGGGAGTCTATATGATTGTTCCCTAAGTATTATGTAATTTATGCGTTTTAATGAATTATAAGGCACTCTTTCCCTCCTTCCGCTGATTAAGGAGCACTTTATGTTCCATTAATCATGAAGGGGGTTTTAACGAGGCCTGCCATTCCTATCAAAAAAAAAAAACCTTATGGAGAGGATTTATGTTGTCTGCAGGATTCTGGGATGCTGTTGTGACTTGTTTCTTTATCGACACAGCACACAACATCATTGAGTACATTGAAATTATATCCAGAATTTTCTAATCCTTGAATGGATGTATTTGCGTTGGCTACAATACGTTCCACACTAGGAGTGCATTTTTTAAAGTTGGTGGTGCATGTATATACATACACTCACACTAGATGTACTGTATATGTTTACCTGATTGTAAAACCTTATGGAGAGGATTTATGTTGTCTGCAGGATTCTGGGATGCTGTTGTGACTTGTTTCTTTATCGACACAGCACACAACATCATTGAGTACATTGAAATTATATCCAGAATTTTGAAGGAGGGTGGAGTGAGTTATCCTTAACTCTCATTCAGTTTCCTTAGTTTTATTCAGTTTATCTTTCACATGGCTCTGAGTTGGTTTGATGGTAGGTTTGGATAAACTTTGGACCTCTACTGTATCACTTTGCAGACATGTACGGTCAGGAAGATGTAAGTTGTATTATGAACACTTCTATGCCAAAACAAACTAATTGGTTGATCAATTGATCTTAATGTTGCTCCACTCACCCCAGCTTTATGGGTGTAATTGAGCCAAACCTAAGCAGTAAGAAGTTTGAATTTGAAGTTGACTTGACATTCGAAATTCTGACTTGAGTTTGATTTTTGATAAACCAAACTACTTGAGCTTGTTCAATTGGTTCAATTATCTACTAAAACATGAGCTTGATTCTCTTGCCCTGTCTAAAACTTGATTATTTTATTTGTGCACAAATATGAGCAAAAATTGAGACTTGTCATCACTAATGAAAATAGAAGTTTGCAATAAAAAAAAAGCATGATTAGGCTTGTGAGCCACTCAAGCTGTGGACATTTGGATACTCAAACTTGGTTCACTTAATAACTCGAGCTTGGCTTGACAATGACTAAGCCAAACTTGAGTCTCTTCGAGTCAAGCACAAGAAGCTTGTAAGCACATATGTCTCTGTTTATACCACTACTATTCTATCTTCCTCCCTTACCCTTTTTTCTCCTTTTCAGGAGATGTCACTTGAATTGAGCTTGGACGATGTAAAGAAGACTGCTTTTCATTATGGTTTTGAGTTAGAGGTAACTTTCGTACACACCTTTTTGTTCTTATTTGAACCTTAAATCTCTGTCTGATTATTTTTGGCCAAGTCTTGGAATAACTATGATTGATACTGTAACATTCTCATGACTGCAGAAAGAGCAAACCGTTGAGACAACCTATACTACAAATCCCCGATCCATGATGCAAGTAAGTTTTTTAACCTTGGTTCTCTAGTAAATTCCCATGTCTTTCATGCTTTATATTAAATCTAAATGGAAATGGTGCTCTTCCTTTAGTGACGCCATGTTAATATGTGTGTGTTTTTGCAATTCTTAGATCTCCCATCAAAACGGGTATAAATGTCATAATCTTCTTGTAATGAAACATCAAAGCTTTCATGTTCATAATCAAACTACTCAACAATGCTTGTTTGCCTATGCTTGCCTGTGCTTTTAGCCAGTCAATTATATGTCGATCAAAAACACCGAGATGCATTAAACCCGAGTTTTACTCTTAGCGCTGTCTCAGATAATGCTATTTGCATAGTTAAATATGAAGTATCCTAAATGTTTACTTTCTGATTATGTTCTTTGCAGAACCACTACTATGCTGCATTTTGGACAATGCGAAAGAAAAAAACGTCTACAACATAGCATGCAAGAGATAATATGCGTTCCTTTATTAACAGACTCAGGTTATATTTTTCATTTGGATTTTTCTATATATAAAGACATAATTTCCCGTTTGTTGTTAGTTTGGATTATTACAAAACATAAACTGCCATTTTTACAATCATTTCTTTGATAAAATATAGATTTATGCAATCAGCATATTCTGTTTAGCATTGAAACTTTGTTTCCGGTGGTTTAGGGTTTTGTTAAACGAACTCTTAATTTTCCTTGAAAAGTTCGAATTAGAGTAAGATGGCTTAGAGTAGAGATGGTATATAGCGAGTCCAGTTATTCATTTTGTTTTGTCATTTGCTTTGGGCTTTAGAATTAAATCTTTGATCTTTCCTATAAACAACTTTTAATTGTAATGTCTGTTCAAATATGATTAACAAAAAACGGTAAGAAAGTAAGAAACCATTGAGAAGATTTCAGTTTCTAATTTGATTTTATTCAGACAAATAACTAAATTATTTTAGGATACTATTAGTAAAATTCTATTTTTATTGCTCTATTTTTGTATTTTTTTTAATGTCTAATAGGTTTTAGAATATATTTCATTTGTTTCAAAGTTGGTTTAATGGTAATGTGTTTTCCCTTTTGTATAAAAAGCAAGCATGAATTAAAAGAAACAAATTTTTAGGGTTCAATATGAAATTATAAATTTGTGTAGAGAAGAAATATGCAAGTTTATTGCTTGAGAAAATTTATGATTCTATTTTAAAATAAATTTATTTATTTATTTATTTCGTCAGTGCACTTTTTTTTTGGATAAATCAGTGCACCTTAGTTATGCTTATATCCCTTTTTTTTTAAATATGATTAAAATTAGAAAAATGAGAGTAAAAAGTATCAACAAAATGTCGATCTATTTTAATATTGAAGAACTCCTTTTGGAAAATTCCATGATTGAGTTTTCTGTTAGCACCAAAAAAGACGGGATGGGAAAATCGAAAGGAGGGTGCCTGGAAATATAACGAAGCTTAAATATAAAGATATGCCATTTAGTGATCAATTATGCATGTGTTGTACTTCACAATCAAGTTGTGTAACATCTCAATTTAGGGGTTAAATTTAAGAAAATATAAATTGGTAAATTTAATTGGTATTTTTAGAAGAAATTGGGGATTAAATTATAAGATTTCAAAGTTGACAGACTGTTTTAAGAAGTATAGGAAATTCAATGGCTAAACCTATGATTTAGTCACTTTTATTTTGGAGAGAATTATAAATCTCTCTCCGTATGTTTTCTGGAAATTTTTTCAGATTTTCCTCTTCATCAACCCCTCTTTGAATTCCGATCTATTCGTCGTCCGACCTCCAATCGACGAGCTGAAACCACCATCGTGTTTGTTGTCAACCGAGGAACAAAACTCCTCAAACCTTTCGTCGTGAATCATCTTCGTTCGTCGTTAATTTTAATCGGAAGTATCGTCGGTAATAACTCGGTTTTAGTTGGTTTTTCATCGATTCACGACGATCGGGTCATCCGTTTACGACACCTCCCGTACCATCGTGTTCGTTGCATCGTTCCGAGTTCGTCGGTGTCATCCTTGGTCTCCGTCGACGGCGGTGCGTGAGGAGGTGAAGCGGTCAAAGTTTCTGATTTGTTGAAATCGAGCTCTACGTCGTTCAAAATTGTGAACCGAGCTTTGTAAGTATCTTGAAATCGGTCAAAATAATTTTTAAGAATTTTTCCGTGATTTTTAGGCAGCCGGAAGGGGCACCACGCTTCCCCACGCGCCGTCACTGCACGTGGGGATGGTTCAAATGACCGGTTTGACCGGTCGTAACCCGACCCGTTGACTCATTGACCGGCGTTGACCACTGTTGATCAAAACTTTGACCGGCTTTGACCGGGCATTAAACGACCTTTGACTTCGACCGAGTATACCTATCCTGACATTTTTCGACGTTCCAAATTCGATTCCGCTGTCCGTTTTTCGAAATTCAAACCCGAAAGCCTCGAAATTGCTGGTCAAACCCGTTGACTTTGATTTTGACCGAAAATTTCAAATTTTTGAAAAGTCACATTTTATGATTTCGACGTCCTGAATCCGAATCCGAAGTCGGTTTCACCAAATTCGAACCCGGTAAGTTGGTTTTAACTGATTTATCATCCGATTCGATCCGTTTATCGCAATTAAGCTATGTTTCTGATATAATTTATGTTGATATGTATCTGAGGAATTATTGGAAGTTGAATGGAAGATCAAAGGCGTTCGAATGGAATTTTTATGGTTGATCATTATTACACGAAAATCGAGGTAATACTTTACTACCTCTTTATGCTTTATAGAACATATTGGTATTGGTAAATGCATGAATGGAAATGTTTGGTCTCATATGTGTAATTAATGAAGTTCTACACTCGATCTGAATACGGTAAAAAGGTTCAGTAATTGATTATGGTTCAGATGACTTTTATAAGAAATTAAGGGATTTTTAGAATTAAATTACAAGTTATGTGCTTAGTGATAAAGAAATCAACCTGTATCTGTAACTTATAATTTATTTCATCAAAGGTTAAATGTTAAAGGTATTTGGATGAGAAATTATGAGAATACTCCGGTAGGATAAAATTACGAAAATACCCTTGTGTTATAAAAAGACAAGATTGGAATATGGAAGTTGGATAAGAGGTTTTTACAGACATATTGATCTGATAAAAAAATATTGATGTGCTTAAGAAATGTTAGTTTTACTTGGATATTTTGGATAACCGGTTTTTAACCCTAGAGGGTTTGTGCAAGATATTAGAATTCTATTAAGGAATCATTTCAAGATAAGAGAATGTTCGGGAAAGCAATTGATCATAGGATCTTTAAATTATAATTATTTTCGTTAAGAGCTAATATCGAAATTATCTGGTTAAGAAATTACGGAAATGCCCTTGAGAGGTAAAATAGTCCTAGTTAACGCTGAATGAGAAAATACTTTGAGGATTCGTACTTAACTCGATTAAGTACGGATTTGATTGTTAAGATCCTGACTTAGTTCAAGAAAAGTCCTGATTTTTCGTTTGTAAAATCTGAGAAGACACTTGACCCGAAAATATTCGAATAATGAGTAAATACTTGAAGAGTAATTTATCGGGGGTATTATGCTGTCATAATTGTTCGAAAGGAATGAAATAAATGATAAGATTGAATTTAATAGTAAGATCAGACGGAATGAAATGATTGAAATATGCTGAATCTATAAAATGACCAAAATACCCCTGTAATGTAAATGACTCAAGAATATCACCAAGCTCAGGAATGATTGAATATCCTCGAGCTCTGAAATGAATGGAATAAAACTGAACATCAAAATTACCAAAATACCCTTATGGCCTAAATTAAGTAAATGTCTTGGATTAATTAAGGAATCCAAGTAAGCATATAAGTATTGGACTACCTTTAAAGGTAATGGAAAATAATTTAAGTGAATAGATCAACCCTAAAGCTATGTCAATACCTGAATGGCATAGATATTACTGGAATATGTGTTCGTCTTCTCAAGTTTGGCTCGATGATAAATTTGGAAGTATTCAGCTCAACTCAACTCTAGATCATATTCAGTACTAAGAATTGGATATTTGTTCGACAAATCAACCACGAATACTGAACTGAACGAAAGTACAATATGTATCTAAAATTCAGAAAATGTCTGATTTACTCTGGGAAACTCTGAAGTAATTGGAATGGATTTAACTACTAAGTGAAATAAGTAACCTCAATGACTAAGATTTTAATAAATGATTTGGATGAGCCTGGAAACGTTAATGAACATACACGATGTACTGTTCTTCTGGATCATGAACTACTAATCAAACACGTCAGTATTTCATGATATAGTGGAAGCGTAAAAATGAAATAAAGTGTAAATACCCTAGAAGGACACGAAATGATCTATGGATAAGAATTTTTGGTATTAAAGTGTAAATACCATAGAAGGACACGAAATGATCAGTCAATAAGTATTAGTTCTGGGAACTATTCATCTAAGAGTTGTTCGATAATGCGATCAATCGACATAGATTGTTAAGGTTCTGAATCTTTGTTCTCAAGTTGTTCGATTATCAGATCAATTGACATGGATGTAAAGGATTCTGAATACCCTTCTGATTACGTACAGCTTCTGAAAACTGTCCGAATAAGATAATATCCTGATAATTCACATTCTGAATAACTTATGATTCCATCAGTTATTGAACTCTTCCAATAGTGATTATAAATCCCAACATTCTATCGATATATTGAAGATCCGTGTTTCTCTATCTGATAAGATTATTCTGTATTTATGAATAATATCTGTAAACTCTGGTGTGTTCCCTACCCACATGAATATTTTATTTGATTTTCGATTTGAATTCTGATCTGATACTCGACATGGATTCTGATCTGATACTTGACTTGGATTCTGATATGATACTTGACCTGGATTTTGATATGATACTTGACATGAATTATGTTTTGATTTTTGATATATCCGTTTACGGACGGAACATGTTTTATTTGGGGGTATTGTTGGAGGTTACTATATATGCAGGTTACTCGGCTTTATGCTCGGGGCCTTACTTGGTGTGTTGGTGGGTGTATGGTTCTGGGGAACCTACACATTATGGTGTGTTGGTGGGTGTATGGTTCTGGGAAACCTACACATTATGATGTGTTCGGTTGGAGGGATTACTATGGTTTTTGATAAATGTTTTATGGGAGGGTGTTGTTGGAGGAAGTTATCGTTACCGTTACTGCAGGCTCCTCTGCTTTGTGCTCAGAGCCTTACTTGGTGTATTGGTGGTGTATGGTTCTGGGGAACCTACACATTATGGTGTGTTTGGTTGGATGGATTAATATAGTTTTTGAATAAAAATATGTTTTAAATTGCCACTGTTTTAAAAGAAAAGATATGCATCTTTTCACAAGTTTTGCGGGAACACACTAGATAACATATTCTGATCTTCTGAACTCAGTCATCCGAAATATTTGTCTGAACTGAAAGCTCATTGTCCGTTATCACCTGAAATATCAGTAGGATCTCTGCTCAGCATAAAAATCTGTAAATGATCGGAAACAATAAGGAAATATATATTTATCTGTATCTGTACGTTCATCAGCATCATCTGGTAGTTCTGTATTACTGAGAGTGAGCTTTCCAAAGCTCACTCTATTACTCACTTTTTCAGGTTAAAAGAATTGTACTAGTGTATCTATCGACTTCAGTAAGGGAGTTCGTCCGACGTTGTTGCAGAGTATGGTACATGTGATTAGGGGGCATGTAATTGTATTTTGATTTATATACGAGTTTGGAAATCTGTTTTATTTTTAAATAGTGAAAATTTATTTTATAAGTTTACATGTTCTGATAAAAAGTTTTAAATTTTCTACTATTTTTACAGTGGGTCGCTCCGGTTGCCCTAATGTGACTTCCCGGATCGGATCGGGCTACCCGCATCGGTATGGGGGTTACAAGTTGACATGATTTGATCATGGGAAACTTAATAAGATAATTTTTCTTATTCATTTGATATAAGCTTATTATATAAATTAGTACCGGACAATTTTTCTTATATCAGTATTCGAATATTTTTGTCTTAAATTAGTATATGAACTTAAATTAAATTCTCTAATTAGTATTTTGAATTTGATTTTTTTCTTCAAATTGATACTTAATGTTGATGTGATATTTTAACAATCAATCAAATTATGGCATGTGATAATTATATTATGATTCTGAGAGATCAATGCAACTTCAATAACTTAATTGAGTGTTGAGATGCCAAGTCACCATAGGGTATCAATTTGAGAAAAAAAAATTAAGTTGATTTATCAATTTGAGATAAAAAAGAGGTTCAAGCATCAATTTGAGAACAAATATCAAACTCAAATATAATTTGTGTGATAAGTTTAAATAATAAAATCAATTTTATATCGCTTGTTAATTAATCTAATAAGATGAGACGTCAATTTTTTTAAAAAATGTTTAAAATTCAAAATTTGATGTTGTAAATGGTGCAAGTTGAATTGACAAACAAAAATTTTGAATAGTGCGTTGACAAAATTGTCTTCTAATAGATCTATAATGTACTTATTTTTTAATTATTTGATCAATGTTGGGATTTAAGATGAATCTCAATTGAACAACCGAATAATTGTCAAGAGGAGATGAATCTCAATGTTGAGATCTGTAGCTTCTCAAAGACTTAGCTAGAACTAATCTCCTTTTACAAAAAGAATAAGATGTAAACAAGAAAACCTCTCTAAGATAGGGTGTTTACAAAAAAATTAAGCTCACAAGATAACAAATAAAAGATTTGCAATGAGCTCAAGACACTAATATTTACAAGAAAAAAGAAAATAAAAATTTAAAACTCTTATCGTGTTTGATTGTTTGGATAAGTGTTCTAACCCTTCTTCAAGTGTCATCAACTTGTTTTTATATGTTGGAATGAGTTTTTGGCAGTTTCTAGCCGTTGGAGATGATTTGGAGCCGTTGGAGATAATTTTTCTGTAAAATAAAACTGTCCAGGACAGGAAGTATTCGGTACTCCTTTAACGAGCATCGGTACTACCTTTATAATTTTTAAATAAACTAGCATTTAAAGACCATTGGGTTTGACCAATATCGGTACTATGATTATGGTATCGATACTACTATGTAAAGTAGTATCGGTGCCTATTTTATATTTTGGAATTTGAGCTGTTTGAAAAACATATGGTAATATCGATAATACCTAGAGAGTAATGATACTTCTCTTATTTTTGGTATCAGTTCCACATGAACAATATCGGTATTGTTCATGTAGTATCGATATTGTAAGAATAGTATCGGTACTACGTACCCTGAAAACATTTTTTGTGCTCAAATTCTAATTTAACGGAATTTGAATTATTTTTGAAAATTTTGAACAAACTCAATCAAATCTAAAAACATTTTACCTTAATTTGTTATATCAAAACATTATAAAATATAGTTCAACAAATCATATACTTACATATGGTTATAAAAAATTGATTTCATATAATAACTCAAATTTACTTAGCTTTATTACATTCAATGAAAAATTATTCGAATTTATAGTTCCATTATCCTAATAATTAAATTATATTGACATTGTTATCTATGATATAAACCTTTATATCTTAAGTTTTTATATTTTACGCTCTTTTAAATTTAATTCGTTTGACCGCATCATTCCAAAATTAGTAAAAGAACATAACAATAAATTTCTTAATAATATAACATCCTAAATTTCAAATTTCTCTTTTTTTTAAAAAAAATCCTATCACTTCTGAGACAATGAAATTCATCACAACATAATAAATTTATTTTATTTGTTGTAATTTATTTTATAATTATCGTTAACATTACGTTTTATAATATAATTATTTTTACATTCTTTTAACTTATGAAAGAATATTAATAACTTTTACATATGAAAATAATATAACTCAAATAAAATTTGGAGTTCATATTTTATAGATAATAAAAGATGATGTGAGAATCCAATCTCTCGTTTAAGAAGTAGACTTTGGTTGATTATAATTGATTCAAAGTCTAATGTGACAACCGAATATCAAGCAAGTTTAGATTAGAAGGAAAAACGAACAAGACATTTTGCAGGGCTTATTGGACCCACCGGTGATTGATGTTTCCCTTTTTCTTTCTTAATAAATTATTGTATTTTTGAATGAACATTGACGTTTGTTTTAAAATATATAATTAAGATAGGTATTATATGTTCCATAAACGTGTCTTTGTTCAACAACGGCATCTTAACAGACACGTGGCCAGAAGTATAAGAACCGTAACCAACTCTGTTTTGAAAATCGGACCGGATCGGTCGGTTCAACCGGATCAACCGGGAACCGTTGTTTAGTTCGGTTCAATCTAAACCGATTGAACCGCAATTAGTGAACCGACCAGAACCGTTCAAACCTGACCGGCTGAAAAACTGGGATTTTTGTTTTTTAAAAAAAAAATTAAACCAAACAACGTCGTTTGTTAAACGAGCCAAGTCGAACTCGAGTATTGCTGAGCTCGACTCGAACTTGAAAACTTTAAAAGTAAGCTCAACTCAACTCAAACTCACAAGCTAAAAATTATCAAGTTCAACTCAAACTCGAAATATAATATTGAAACTTGAACTCAAAAAGGCTTGAACTCAAAAAAAATTAGAAGCTCGATTGAAGCCTAAAATTCGAGCTTGATTGAAGTGAAAGAATAGTTCACTCAATGCTCACCAAAAGGCTCCATGATTTTGAATGCCAAATTACCTCTATTATTTATAGAAGATAGTTGTGATGTGCTTCTATGTTTCTTAGCAATGTGAGATTGTTTTGTTCTCATATTTTTACTCTTTAGACTTTTGGGGTGCTCTTCTATGTTTCTTAGCCATGTGAGATTGTTTTTAAAAAAAAATTAAACCAAACAATATCATTTTGTTATGATTTTTTTAACCTCAAATTTATTTTTTAATTATAGTTATATAATTATATTTATTATTTAATATATTTTACCTTAAATATTATGTTGTAGTTAATTTGAATCATTTTGTTTCACTTGATTTTATAGTTTTTAACTTATATATATTATGACTTGCTTTGAATATCACTTGTGATATAAAAAAATATTTTTTATTAAATATTTTTGGTATTTTTATTTAATTTTTTAAATAATTATGACATCGTCCGGTTCTTCCGACCGATTTAATCGATTCAACCGGTTAAACCAATAAACCGATAGCATGACCGATTCGCTAACTGATCAAAACCATGGTAACCAAACAATCTGACCGTCTATTTTATACTTTACACAAATAACACAAACGTCTTCATTAAGCAATACGCATGCAGCACGGGATAATACTTCCTTCCCCTTTTCGTCACGTTATACAATTTTTAGGATTCCTCTTTATTTTATAATCAATTCAATTCAGTGGTGTTTATCTAAGTTATTTTGATGGATGGAAGAAGGTCCATTATTTTTAAAAAAATTAAATTTTTATTTACTTTAAACATCATTTTAACTTTTTTATTGATGACGTATTTTCAACATTTAAATTTTTTATAAATTTGTTTTTTAAAAATAATATAAATTTATATTCTAACGCTAAAATCTTACGTCTATAACTTATTGATTAGGTTACATGGAAAGAGAAAATACGTCGAGACATAATAAACAAATATTATTTTAATATAACGCGTTTATGTCAAAGTCTAAACTCCTTGGACAACCGTCGACCCCAACTGCCACGCGGTGCAAGCCGCCGACCTGCTTTCGCAAAGCAAAATGAAAACTTGGCTTTCTACGAAACCTCCAGGCTTCATATATTGATCCTCTCTCTCTCTCTATATATATATATATACATCTTCATCCTTTCTTCTATATCCATTAATTCTTCTTCTTCTCCAAGCATTTATTTTACTCTAAAGTCTGAATCACTCCCATAATCTCCTTTCAGCTTAAAAATTCAAGGATGAATCACAACCAGCAACAATTCAACCAGCCCTCAGCAGGTCTGTTCTCTTCTCCTTCAAATTTATAGATTACGGTTTCTCAATTATGAAAAAAAACCAGCAATATTAACATGGTTTGTTTCTTGTTAATGATTCAACAGCTGCATATCCACCACCGCCGACATCTAGGATGCCAGAACCTTATGTGACCGCACCACCAGCTGGTTATCCGATGAGCAAAGATGAGTCCCAAAAACCCGGTGCTCTAGAAACCAAGTCCAGAGGTGATGGTTTCTGGAAGGGATGGTAAGTATTAAAAATAATCTTCCTTTCTACCACACATATATATATATACAGAATCAGTGTGGGCGATTACAAGTAAATATTGATGAAAATGTTGTGTGAAATTGCAGTTGTGCAGCGCTGTGTTGCTGTTGTCTTCTGGATGCATGCTTTTGAAGCGTTCTTGTATGATTATGAAGAGTTTGATTTGTTTATAGATTATATAGTTGGATTGATTGTTTGATGATGGGAACTGTAGGGTTTGGTTTCCCTTGTTCATTGTTTTGTATAAATGGGGACTCTTTATCTGCCCATTTACTTGTGTTTTGAATAAAACTATTATTATTATTTTTTTCAATGGTAGTTGTTTTGTTGTCGCAATCCCTTCGATCTTTTTTCTGGTGAAGTAAGATTCTTCCACGTGTCTATACATATTTCCAGAAGCTCCAAACATCATTTATGTGAATAAATAAAATATCCTTTTAAAAGATTGTTTATTTTTAGACATTAACAAGCTGAGTTGAAATTATGAAACGCATTTATTGTTAAAATATCTCTCATGTTTTAACAAATTATTTCTTGGAGCATTTTTCTTACAAAATTAAGTTCCTTTTTAATAATACAATAATATAATTTAATTTTTAAAAATAATTGCAAGCACAATTGTTACTCAAAATGTCAGATAAATAATAAACAAATATTATTAAAAATAGGAACAAATTATTTATTTGTATATAAACATGGAATCATAGGAATAAAATCGAATATTTTTTTTGTTTAGGCTTGTATGAACTATTTCTTTAAGATATATTTGTCATCTTTTTCGAATAATGTTGGATGTCGATCTTTCATGATACAATAAAAAATGATCAAACAACAAGCACAATGATAATGATCAATCAAACACAATTTTATTTTTTTTTATCACTAGAAAAAAGGGATTTAGAAAAAAAAAATTATATGTATTTTTCTTATTCCAAGCTGTGTTGTTATGTCTAAGATTTGTGCTCCAACTATATATAATAGAGAAATTAGATTAAAATGTTAAAATCTTTTGATGAAATGATTTATCATTTTAGCGAAAAAAATTAATCTTTTAACAAAAAAATTATTTAATAAATATAATTGAATAAATGAAACTTTAAATTAAAAATTAAATCTATTCATCAAATATTATAACTTATTATTAATATATTATAAATAACATCAATTCATTCATTTATTTTTTCAACAACAATTTCTTTGAACAATGTAAAAATCTATCTGGTAAATCCAATAATATTTTTCAATTACATTCTATATTACACCTTGCTTATAATCTTCGATTATAACTTATCGTAATATTTGTAAGTCAAATACTATAATAATATACTAAAATTTAAAATTAATTCATTTAATTTTATAAATCAGGCAAATAAAAAAATTACACATATAAGAGTATGTATTTTCATCTCGTATTTTTTAATATATCCTGATATTTAAATTAGGATAAAATACATAAATAATCCCTCGATTATAGGTTATTGCTTTGTTGAGTCTCTTGATTATTAAAAGTTACAAAATGATTCTTCGATTATAAGACGATGTTTTGTTGAGTTTCCTTACTATTAAAAGTTACAAAATGGTCACATGACTAATAATATGTTCCAAACTCATCTTTTTTCATTAAAAAATTGATGGCTATATGAGTTGGACATTAACATATTGACTAGGATATAATGAAATATGATGCTTGAACCATCTGTGTTGTATTTTGTGAATTGACTATTTGTTTACATTATATCGTCGAGTTAGTGCTTGAAAGTAACGGTTGTTCCAGTAGACATCATTTAAATATGATTTTACCATATCTCAGTTAACATGTTAATATCCAACTCAGACAATCGTCAATTGTTTTAACGAAAAATGACGTATTTAGAATATATGAATAGTCAAATGCTATATTTTTTTAACTTTTAATAGTCGGACAACTAAAAAAAGCAACGTCTTATAGTCAGAGGATTATTTTATAATTTTTAATAGTCGAAGGAATCAACAAAATAATATCATTTAATCAGAGTACACTTTAAATTACGTGAGATACAAGTTTAAAATTTTGGTAATGGTCCAAAATATAAATAATGGAGGTCTACTCAATTAAGGCCCAATTTTATTCATAAAAAGAGCCCACTGATATCCATCAATTTCCTAAAGGCGCTAGGGTTCCATTCAATGGATACGATTATATATCCCCTCATTTTCAAGTGTATCAATTTCGCCATTCAGATTCAGAGCCGCTGCACCCGCTGCCGCCATGGTTAAGTTTCTTAAACCCAACAAGGCCGTAATCGTCCTCCAAGGCAGATACGCCGGACGCAAAGCCGTGAGTGTGAAATCTTTTGACAATGGCACACGTGACCGGCCCAACGGCCACTGTTTGGTTGCAGGAATAAAGAAGTACCCGAGCAAGGTTATCCGCAAGGACTCCGCCAAGAAAACAGCCAAGAAGTCGCGCGTCAAGTGCTTCGTCAAGCACGTAAATTACTAGCATCTGATGCCCACGCGATACACCCTGGTCGTGAACTTGAAAAACGTGGTTACCGTCGATGCCCTTCAGACCAAAGACAAGAAGGTGGCCGCTTGTAAGGCCACCAAGGAGCGGTTTCAAGAGAGGTTAAAGACTGGAAAGAACAGGTGGTTCTTTACCAAGCTTAGGTTTTGAGCTTTTTGTAGTGTCTTAACATTTTGGATTTCATGGAAAGATTCGAATCTGTTTCGATGAGGTATTTCTTGTTGCGGAAGACGGTTATCGGATAGAATAAAATCGTAACTGATAATTTGAGAAAATAAAAATGAAGATAAAAAGAGACACAAAATTTACGTGGAAAACCCCTAAACTATATAGGGTAAAAACCACGGGCAACGATAGAAGAATTTCACTATGAGAAAATAGAAATTACAACATCTCTCGAGCTACCAAGGAGAAAACAATGATAATTCTCTCTTGATAAAAAGGAGAAAACAACTCTCAAGAAACTCTCTAAATTCTCTCTAGTATTGGAAGAAAGCTAGAATGCTTTGGGATGGTTTTGAAGCTAAATGAGCTAGTGTATTTATAGTTGAAGCTTTAAGGACTAATTTGTAAATACCCTAAATTACAATGACTAATTGCATAGTTTTACCATCCAAAATTTTCAACAATTTTGTGGCCAAATTTGACCAATTTTTTCACCCCATTAATGCCACCAAATTGCCACCCATAATGTTGACAATTGATGCAATTTGGTGTGATAATTTTCAACAATCTCCCACTTGAAGATTTGATTGGAACAATCATATCTTCACACCATTCTTTCTACCTTGTACCTTTCATGTTGCTTACGTTTCCGACATGCCACATGAGGATCGACACCAGGTAAATTTATCAACATTGATTGCCTTCGTCATGAAATCTGCTATGTTGTCTTTGGTATGGATCTTCTGCATATCTACCGTTCCTTCTTCCACCTTTTCACGAATGAAATGGTACTGAACTCGTATGTGCTTAGTCATTGAATGAAATGCTGGATTCCTTGCTAGATGCAAGGCGCTTTGACTGTCACAAAACAGAGAGACATACTCTTGATTGTGCTCAAGCTCCTCCAATAGCATCTTCAACCAAATTGCTTCTTTACTGGCTTGTGTAGCTGCTACATATTCTGCCTCTGTTGTGGACGTAGCCACAACTGACTGCAATTTTGAAACCTAACTTACAGCTCCACCAGCAACTTTGAACACATATCATGTAGTAGATTTGCTTTTATCCAAATCCCCTGCGTAGTCAGAATCTACATACTCATTGATTAGTAAGTTTGATCCTCCGTAACATAATGCAACATTTGAGGTCCCTTTGATGTATCTTAGGATCCTCTTTACAATATTCCAATGCTCTTTGCCTGGATTCGCCATGTACCGACTAACCACTCCCACTGCTTGTGCAATGTCTGGTCTTGTGCATATCATAGCGAACATTAAACTTCCCACTGCTGATGCATACGGTACTCGAGACATCTCCATCCTCTCTTCTTCACTGCTAGGACTCATACTGGAGGATAATTTGAAGTTAATAGGAAGAGGGGTAGAAATTGGCTTACAATCTTGCATGCTAAATCGTGACAAGATTTTCTTCAAGTAATTCTTTTGTGAAAGCCAAATCTTCCTATTACTTCTGTCTCGGTGAATTTGCATCCCTAGAATCTTGTTTGCTGATCCCAAGTCCTTCATTTCAAATTTCCTAGCCAGTTGTGCCTTCAATTCTTCAATATGATCTTTGTTGGGTCATGCAACCAACATGTCATCCACATACAACAGCAATATAACAAAATCGTTATCACCAGACCTCTTGAAATAAGCACAAGGGTCTGCATTAAGTCTATTGTATCCAAGGCACATAATGAAGGAATCAAATCTCTTATACCAACACCTCAACGCCTACTTTAGACTGTACAGAGATTTGTTCAACCTGCAAACCAAGTTCTTCTTTTCTTTTTCTTCAAAACCTTCAGGCTGGAGCATATAAATTTCTTCTTCAAGATTTCCATGAAGAAAAGCTATTTTAACATCTAACTGCTCTAGATGTAAGTCCAATGTAGCACACATTTTCAAAACTACTCGAACTGTTGTTAGTCGAACTACAGGAGAAAATATTTCATTGAAATCAATACATTCTTTTTGAGCATATCCTTTGACCACCAGTCTTGCACGATACATCTCCACTTGATCATCACCATTTCGCTTGATTTTGAAAACCCATTTGTTACCAATTGGCTTCCTTCCTTGTGGTAGTGGCACAAGGTCCCATGTATTATTTTTATGAAGGGCTTCGATTTCTTCTTGCATCGCCATCATCCACAGTGAAACATCTGAGCTGTGTATTGCCTCCTGGTATGTTGATGGCTCACCGTCCTCTGTTAAAAGGCAGTATGCAATATTACCTTCTATAACATAATCTGAGTGCCAATTGGGACGTCTTCTCACACGATCTGATTGACGAGTTGTTGGAGTTTCAGAACTCCCTGGTTCTTGTTCATCATGTGTTGGTTCTGCTTCAAAAGAATCTCCTTGTTCAACCTCATTTTCCACATGTATCTGTATAGTCTCTGACTTTTCAGCGCTATCATCATCTTCTTTCCTTTGTAACTTATCTTCTACAAAGATAACATCCCTGCTAATGATCACTTTGCGGGCAGTAGGATCCCACAAGCGATACCCCTTTACTCAATCAGCATTCCCCAAGAATTTGCATTTCCTGGATTTTGGATCCAGCTTTGAAATTTCTTGGGCGTTGTACATCATGTACACAATACTTCCAAATACATGGAGGTTTGAATAATCAACTGG